AGCTGCTACTAAAAGTAATAATTTTAAGCAAAGCCACATTCGTTTGTGTTTTGGCTAATTTCTATTATCTGAATTGTTTTTGCAGATGCAAGGTGGTGAAATTGGTCGTTATGAAGACAGAAACATAATAACTGGAGTTGTATGTTATGCATTATGAACAGCTGCTGCTACAAAAGTAATAATTTTTAAGCAAAGCCACGTTCATTTGGTTTTGGCTAATTTCTATTATCTGAACTGTCTTTGCCGCTGCATGGTGGTAAAATTGGTCATTAAGAAAACAGAAACCTGTTTTCCGATTTGCCAAATATTGTCCTATGACACCGATGACTCTGGAAGAGACTTGAGTGGAACTCAACTGGTCATCACCACCTAACGGAGCCTGGCATTCTACTATATAGATATGATAAAAATATCCTGCTACTTTAGGATCACACACTCGTTTATCTCCATTGAAGGTAAAATGACCAATTATGCAGTTATCACCAAAGTTCTGCAAATATGGTAACTAATATTTCATTTATTATGCTTCTGCTGGCCTTATTTTAGATTTTAGCTGTCTGCATACTGTATAGACTGCTTTATGCTACTTTATCGTTTGAAACCTGGGCCAATCGGTTGTATTGATTTCACTTTGTGGTGAGGTTCAAATGTCTTGGAAAATTGAATTCAACAAAATTTAAATACTCGTGGAATAGTATAACCCCAGGTGTTCCACAGCTCTTTTCCCATCACAACAAATAATAAAAGGAAAAAAAAAAATCAACTGTGCACCTTACATCATATTTTCCCATTACTGTTTCAACTACCTAGGCATATCTTAATAAGCTATAAGACAATGCAATTAGGTATTCTTAGTGCAATAAACTATGTATTATAATTTTAACTGCACAAGAGAAGTAAATCTAGTGTGGAGGTAAACTAAGATGCTGAAAATTTCAATGGCATAGTGGTGGTTATGAGTAGCAAATGATTGGTGAAAACACTCTCTAATATTGTACAGTATTTGAAGTCTGCTATGTCTTTAAGATGACCATTTCTTGTGGTTGTGATGCCAACCATGATCTATAATTTGAATTGAACTTTATTTGAGTGGCCCAAAATTTTTGAGCCATTATATGATATTCTACTTACTCATTTTTACCACACATTCACCCTATAAAATATTCTACACGTAAACTTAAAACTTTTCCATACCTTTTAACCACACATTCTCCTAAAAATCACTATTCAAAATATTGTTTTTTGGAAATAATGGCCACTAAACAGGGTCTAAGTCGGTAAAGTAATGACAAATCCAATTTTTAACTTCAAGGAAATTCCCATGATCATGACACTGATTGATTAATCCATTGAATTATTTCCACACTCGGCTTTTCTTGTTGGAGAAGCATTTTAGGGATAGTTGAAGCAACTAGCAAGAGGGATTCCCCCCACCACCCCCCAGCCCAAAAACTGACACTCAACTGTTAATCTATAAAAAGCCCTTTCCTTAACATTAAGCCCCCGTTTGGCCTCAATTATTTGGTATTATAATTTTTGGAATAATGTTTTTCTGAAAATGGATGGTTGAAAAAAAAAAAATGTTTTTGATTTACGAATCACAAGTCACTCTTGAATCTTGATAACCCACCTTTGTGATTGCTGCTCAAGAAACAAAAACAAAAACAAAAACCAAAAAAGAAAATTATAATTGAAAGGATATACTTGGACTGTCCAAAAATCAAAATGAAAAATCATGACCGTTTGAACACAACCAAAAAAGGGAAAAAAATCTTAAAAAGAAGTAAAAAATGATTACAACCATCCCACATGGTATTAAAAAAGTCTCATTCAGAAAATTCGGCTGTGACTTTATTATTCAAAATGAGGTATCAATAACTGTCCAAAAAAGAAAAACAATTTTTAAAAAATTGATGTTGATCTAAAATTCTACTATATATACACGCGTATATGCATGCACTATTATCCCACTTCCAAGTTCCAATTCAACCATCTTATTATACAGGAGGGAGAGAGAGAGAGAGAGAGAGAGAGAGAGAGAGAGAGAGAGAGAGAGAG